TCCAATTTGTGAAGGTTTTAGTAGAGGGTGTTGGGAGTGGTGGCTGATGGCCAAGAATGAGAGAGACCGGTCGGTGGTCGGATCCTAGATCGTCTAGTGTCTCGATTGCCCTAAGGTTGAGAGAAACTCCTTTGAGTAACGCAAAATCTAGTACATCGGGGGCATAGTCGGTGTTATCGGGAAAGTGAGTAACACCGAGAGGACTGTGGACGGTAATATCAAGAGACTGCGTGATATCGAGCAGTAACTTGCCACTACGGGTGGTAGTACGGCATGTCCATTCAGTATGCTTGGAGTTAAAATCTCCAAACATAATGACTGAATTGCCTAGAGATAAAATAGCCTCAAAATCTTTTTTGAGGGGAAGGGTTTTAGAAGGGATGTAACAGGAGGCTATGAAGATGGACTGATGTCCAGTCATAGCTAGCCTGCATACCGTGGCTTCCATGTTGGAAAGTTGCGGAGTAGAAATGGGAGAACAGTGAAGTGTCTTCTTGTAATAAATGGCCGTACCGCCGCCTCGGCGGTCGGGTCTATCATTACGAAGAAGAGAGAAGTTTTTGATGGAAAGGCCTTTAGTGTCCTTAGTATTGAGATTAGTTTCCTGTAGGAGGAGGAAATCGGTTTCACGATTTTGAAGAAAGAGCTTAAGCTCTGGGAGGTTATTTCGCAAACCGCGAATGTTAAAGGATACAAGCGATAAACCCTTAGGTTTGATACGACCGTGGGATTTTGGTAGAGCAAACTGCTCTGTCATTGTGAGTTAAGTTAATTAAGTTAACTTAACTTACAATGAGCACAAAAGATTATGATGCTCTGCAAGAGCGAGGAGACGGTCCTGAGGGGACCTCGCAGCGCGCAATTTGCGTGCTAACACAGCGATTTCCTCAACGTTGATGTTCCTAATTGCGGAATACACCGTTTTTAGGTCATCAGCCATTGAGGGCTGTGATTGTTGTGGTTGAGGGGCGGAGGATGTGTGCGGTGGTACTGCCTTTTTGGGGCCCCAGGGAAAAACTGGAGGCTGCATAGGCTGAGAGAAGCCCGGAGGGGGCCGAATAGTGCCCTGAGGGGGCCTAGGAGGACCCTGAGAGGGTCGAGAGAAGCCCTGGGTGGGCTGAGAAAGGCCCTGACGGGGCATCCGTTGGTAAAGAGCCGGGAATGAGCGGTCATTGACCGGCGGTGGAGCTTGCCTACTGGGGCGAGGATGAGGTGCGCAAGGGCAGCCTCTGTAGTTAGCCGGGTGGCCCGTTTGTTTACACAGGACACACGCGGGTGGGGATTCGGCGTCTTTGGGCCGAGGACACTCTTTAGTGTTGTGGGGTTCAAGGCACTTAACGCACCTGGGTGGGGCGGAGCAGTTGGCCGCCGCATGACCATACAGCTGGCAGCGGTGGCACTGCGCCGGGAACCCGCGCCTATGTGGAGGCTCAACCCTCACTCTCGACAGGCCGCACACTGTGCGTACCTGCCGGAAGATGGCTTTCGCCTCCGGCACGTTGGTTAAAATTACTAGGGCAAGAGAGAACCTCTGGCCTGTTCTACTGTGCATTTTGTGCACGGCTTCTACGGGGAAACCTTGGGACTTAAGGTCCTCAAGGATTTCTTCGTTTGAAAATTCGAAGGGGACGCCGCGGATGACGGCCCTGACTTTGCGCTCTTCCGGAAGAGCGTATGTATGATAAGAAACTCGTTCGGCTGTGAATAGCCTGGTGAGTCGCCGGAAGTCGTCGATTGATTGGGGGATGATCTTAATAGCCTCCCCGAGGTTGATGGCGTGGTCATATTTTATGCCTGCGTTGTAGCAGGTTTTGGAGAGTTCTGTGAATTTAGCCTTGTCTCTTAGGAAGACAGGGGGCGGGACTTGCTTCTTGGCAAGGACTGGAGCACAGCGAGAGGCTGGCTTGGTCGGAGCGGGAATGTCTAGTGACATAAGTGGGGCTGAGGCAGCGGCGGGGGCTGCGGGGGCAGAGGCGGCAGCGGAGGTTGAAGGAGCGGCAGGGGCCGCTGAGACAGGGAGGGTGCGGTTTTTAGCGGCGCGTTTACCGTTGCGCTTGGAGTTCACCGTGGTGAACGAAGAATCCCCGGTTCCGTCGGAGTCACAGGACTCCGATGAGCCGGTGCCAGAATTGGTGGCGGGCCTCTTCCGGGAGGCCGATGCAGAGGACTCGGAGCATGCGTACTCCATTTCTAATGGGGCGAAAGAGTTCTTTGTCTCTAGGTAGGCCGCAAGTACGGGCGGCGGTTGGAGTGCCTGACGGGCAGGGGGAGTAACATGGGCGGCGATGGCGGCAAGGGCCGTCTCATCGAGGTTTAGGCCCAGACCAAGAGTTTGGTTTAGGGCGGCGACGAGGGACTTAATTTGGGTAATTGTGGACATGTTGAGGGCAGTAGTTTTACGAAACGTATTTGATACGGAAGGGGCTAGTGGGTGCTGTTCTGAAAAGAACAGAGACGTTATGTACCTAAACAGTAAGGGCGGGATCACCGTTCTGAGAAGAACGGGACGTTTTTAATTCTAGGAGTAAGTGCCCCTGCTCTCAAAAGAGCAGGGCCTTGCTCTGAAAAGAGCAAGTAACTCCCTAGAAACAGTATATACACGTACACGTTATACAAATAAATAACGAAAACAAAATTAGAAATAGTTAACAAAAGAATTAACAATAAAAATAACAATAACAAGCAAGACCAACAGTCAAACCGCCCCGCCCGGAGACAGGGAGGTAATAACTGGAGTTAGCGTAAAATGACTCACCAAGGCGTCGACGCTGTAAGCGCGAGCAGGACAGCGGAGGCGCGAGAGCGAGAGAGCACTACCGTACGGGGACGGATGCGCGGACTACCTGGACACGACCGCTCGAGAGCGGTGCCACAGGCGGAATGTTACACTAACTCAACTAATACACAATATATTCACTATACGACTATACGTTCTCAACGCGCGGGATACTGAAATCGTCGCGAGTGGCGACGCTTTTATATGGTCGACAAATGTGCGGTTACAGGCGAGACTTCTCTACCCATCTCTTTTCCTCCCCCCCCCCCCCCCCCCCCCTCTCCGTTTTTACTTCATCGTGAATATCGGGTAGACCAAGCATTCGTATTAAAAACTTTTAAATAATAATAATAATATACAATATTATGATATTTGCATTATAGAGAACCCTCGAGGTCTTAATTTCATATGAAATCACTAATATCTTGCTCAAAATATACTCCTTGTAATAAAAATATCGTTTGTGTCTTAAATTGTAGGTTATAATTATATCTAATAGTTATTAAGCTCTCATAGGCGCGTATTATAGCAGATTTCTAGTTATTAAGTAGACTATTCTAAATTTATTTTACGTAATTTCAAATAAGATCCCTTTATTATTATTATTATTATTTTTTATTTTTTTTCGTATCCTTTTATGTATTAGTTGTATGTAAGTATTTTAAAATTGTACATTTGCATGCGAGGTATATCTATAAAAGAATAAATACTCTTAGCGTAGCGGACGAACGAGCGAAATGTAGGGTGACGTTATTATGAGAAACGGATAGTAATACGATATATTTTGTGGCCCTGAAAAGGGCCTTTGAAATACACCTAAAACACACACCAATCACCGACCTTACTTGGAGCTGGTGTATTTGGTGACTGCCTTGGTGCCCTCTGACACGGCGTGCTTGGCGAGTTCACCGGGCAACAGCAGTCTCACGGAGGTCTGCACTTCCCGTGAAGTAATAGTCGAACGCTTGTTGTAATGAGCCAAGCGCGAGGCCTCTGCGGCTATGCGTTCGAAGATGTCGTTAACGAAAGAGTTCATTATGGACATCGCTTTACTGGATATACCAGTATCGGGATGCACCTGCTTGAGCACCTTGTAGATGTAGATGGCGTAACTCTCCTTCCTCTTGTGCTTCTTCTTCTTCTTATCCGACTTCGAGATGTTTTTCTGTGCCTTACCAGACTTCTTGGCGGCTTTACCACTAGTTTTCGGCGGCATCTTGAAGAATATTTAATGTAAATGTGATCACGGATAATACTAAATTATCACTGAACAACACAAAATTTTTTTTTTCTTATATAACGACTATCACGGTGACTCTACTAGCTAGTGGTCTAACGAGCGTATCGAGTGTAGATCAACCAATCAACGACCAGTTTGCCCGGACAAATGGAAGGGGTAGGGTAGAGAGTAGGGGATACGGGCGGAAGATTAGTTTAGAAAGAACGCAAATTTTATTTTATTAAACATTCCAATATAAGTAATATATAATTATACTAATACCCAATTATTTTAATAAAATAAATCATTATCGAATATTTTATAATAATAAAATAACTACTGATAATGTTTTAATAATGCATGTAAATTTATAATTAACATAATACATTGAGTCCATTTATCGCGGCGAGGCAATCCTCTAATCCATCTAAAGCCAACGGCAACGGTGAAGTTCATAAGAGATTTTTACTACATAATATGTTGAACGGTAAGTATTTATATATGTTTCTCTTAAAAAAAAAAAAAAAATATTTTTTTTTTTTTTTTTTTTACCTTTTAGTCTATTGATTATTATTAATTCATAATAAATATGGCTTTCGTCTTATCGTTACCATTACCAATAGAAAGTAATAGCGTACAAAAAGGAATAAGGTATAGTATAGGAGGAACTGAGGAAAGAGGCTTTAAAGAACGTTCGCATTCTAAGAGACTAAATTTATAAATTATCGATAGTATTTGTGGCCCTCAAAAGGGCCTTTTAATCACGTACCAACCACCACGAACGGTAGATAACAATAGAGCAGTAGAGACACGAGTCGACGGACGGCGAATGCACCATTATTATACTAAAGAGCGTAAAACAGAATATGCAATACGTATATAGTACAATTAGGGCATTACCGATCGATAAAACGTCGACGCATACTCTCGTCTAAAGTTCTCAACCATTTTCTTGGGCCTAGTGGTGTGGTGTAGTAATGCGACGGGAGTAGTGTACACACTCGTTTAGGCCTTCTTCTCGGTCTTCTTGGGAAGAAGGACCGCCTGAATGTTGGGTAGTACACCGCCCTGGGCGATCGTCACACCGGAGAGGAGCTTGTTCAACTCTTCATCGTTGCGTATTACGGATCGCCGTAATGCCGTGCGAAAAATGGAATAAAACGCGCTGGTCTTGCTTTTAACTGGAGGCAAGCGGCGGTGAGGAGGAACTTGTACTTTTTCTTTTCTTGCTGGTGCCTTTTCGGTGGCTGGAGAGCGACTGCTGACCCTAGTTTTTTTTTTTTTTTTTTTTTTTTGCGCCCGAAGCAATTGGAAAAGGGCTACCCCGAAGGGAGGCAGAAAATGCATTACGCATACCACGATGGCCGGTCCATCGTGGTTATGAGGGACTCACTACCTACAAGGGGGAACCTAAGTGATACCCTCTAAAAACTGCCTTTGGGGACTGGCAACCAGCTGTTGAAAGCTTCACATGCCGTATCGTAAAGCGACCCTCTTTTGGGAAAAGAGGGCGCAGGCGGCTATAAGCCGCTGAGGGAGTGCCTGGGAAGGCAAATTAATTATGAATAACTTAATTATAGTTGGCCTGAGCCGCCAGAAGGCAGTTCAGGTCGTTTGAAAGTTTATTAGGCGGGTCCGAGAGGGAGTTCCTCGGCCTGCGGACGCTATAGCGGGAGGGGAGTGGGGCTGCATAATTAGCAGCCTCACGAATAAAATGATTGGAATGCGACTCTGAGGCTTTGAAGAAGTTCTCAGAGAGTTTTTTAAGGAATTGTTGAATTGTAGGGAGCTCTAGGTCCCGATGAAGGTCGGCATTGCGGACGTACCAAGGTGCGTTCGCAGCTCGACGACAGAAAAGGTTTTGAACTACTTGGAGTTCATTAATAATTTTAGGGTTAGAGTGGGCGAAAATGGGGCCCGCGTAGGACATGACTGGTCGTATACAGACCTTATAAAGGGTACGCTTGTTTCTGAGGGACATTTTACTGTGTCGGCCCAACATACTGTTGAGCCTATTCAGGTAAAAACGTGCGTGACGGGTTACTCTTTTGACGTGGGGCCTGAAAGTTAGCCCTGTGTCTAGAGTGACACCTAAATATTTGGCAGACGTATGCCAGGGGACAGGGGTCCCTAGCATACGTATTGGTGGAGTGTTTTTGAGACGGCGTCGTTTATAATCGAAGTGAACGGCGGAGCTCTTCTCCGGGTTCACATCGATGCGCCATTTTTTGAACCAAGCTCCTAGGTCATCAACTGACTTTTGGACCTTGTTCCGTATGAAAGGTAGCGAGATACCTTTGCAGTAGAGAGCAGTGTCGTCTGCGAAGAGGGAGAGCTGAACACCTTTCGGCGGAATGGGAATGTCGTTGGTGAACAGTATGTACAGCAGAGGAGCAAGAACTGAGCCCTGAGGGACACCAGCTTTGATGGGGCGCTGTGAAGATAGCGTGCCTTCGTGTCTAAAACGAAAGGTACGATGATTAAGATAAGAGGCCACGAGACGTACTAGACGATCGGGGAGACCTATTTTGTATAGTTTGTAGATAAGGCCTGTATGCCAGACTCTATCGAAGGCTTTGGCGATGTCGAAAAAGACCGCGATAGTCTTATGACGACGGGGATAAAAACCGCTGAGGATATATTCCACAATACGGTGAACTTGTTGGGGGCAGGAGTGTTTCGCTCGGAAACCGAATTGATGGGGAATGATAAGAGGGTCACCGTCTGTGGGAAACAGATGGCGCCTCATGCGATTTTGAATGACTCTTTCAAAGAGCTTGCCCATGGCCTTGAGGAGGCTAATGGGACGATGACTGGAGGGGAGATTAAGAGGCTTGCCTGGCTTGGGAATACCAATCACAGTTGCCTCTTTCCACGTAGTGGGAAAGTAACTAAGGTTGAAGCAGGCATTGAAGATAATAGATAAAAGGGTTAGCACCTGCTCAGGAAAGTTTTTTAGGGCTTGGTTGGAGATGCCATCCGCGCCCGGAGCCTTTTTAGGCTTAAGTCCTTTGATGAGGGATGAAAGCTCATCATTGGACACAGAGATAGGTTCGGAGGCTGTAGGGGGCGAGTTCCGGCGGCGGACCTCATCCTCCACTGCCTGGATGTGTGAGGGGTCTACGGGTTGAGAGCTAGGAGAGCATTGAGCGGCAATGCTGTCTGCAAAGCACTCAGCCTTTTCCTCGTCCTCGAAGGCTACCGTACCGTCGGGACGGGAGAGAGGGGGAGTGTGGAAGATAGCGTCTATGCGGAGGGCTCTTGCCATCTGATAGTACGCTGTATGAGAGGGAGAGATATTCTCCATGAGCTTACTCTTTTCGAGGTCTCGAAATTCAGAGAGGCGGAAACGGAGTTCTCGTTGAAGACGATTGGCCGTGCGCCTATATTCGGGCGTGGGATATTTTGCTGCTCTCCGGAAAGCAGCTTTTTTGGCTTTTAATAGGTTGCTAATATGCAGGGGAAGCCCACTATTATTAGCAACCGGGACGACCCTTTCATTCTCCTTAAGGGAGGTTTTAATAAGGGTGGAGAGTGAATCGACCGCGGTGTCGATTTTTTCAGGACTGTCTAAGTCCGAAGATAGGGAGATGGGGGAGTCCTGTGAGTCCAGAGCTTTCGCTAGGGACTCCTTGAAGCCCTTCCAATTTGTGAAGGTTTTAGTAGAGGGTGTTGGGAGTGGTGGCTGATGGCCAAGAATGAGAGAGACCGGTCGGTGGTCGGATCCTAGATCGTCTAGTGTCTCGATTGCCCTAAGGTTGAGAGAAACTCCTTTGAGTAACGCAAAATCTAGTACATCGGGGGCATAGTCGGTGTTATCGGGAAAGTGAGTAACACCGAGAGGACTGTGGACGGTAATATCAAGAGACTGCGTGATATCGAGCAGTAACTTGCCACTACGGGTGGTAGTACGGCATGTCCATTCAGTATGCTTGGAGTTAAAATCTCCAAACATAATGACTGAATTGCCTAGAGATAAAATAGCCTCAAAATCTTTTTTGAGGGGAAGGGTTTTAGAAGGGATGTAACAGGAGGCTATGAAGATGGACTGATGTCCAGTCATAGCTAGCCTGCATACCGTGGCTTCCATGTTGGAAAGTTGCGGAGTAGAAATGGGAGAACAGTGAAGTGTCTTCTTGTAATAAATGGCCGTACCGCCGCCTCGGCGGTCGGGTCTATCATTACGAAGAAGAGAGAAGTTTTTGATGGAGAGGCCTTTAGTGTCCTTAGTATTGAGATTAGTTTCCTGTAGGAGGAGGAAATCGGTTTCACGATTTTGAAGAAAGAGCTTAAGCTCTGGGAGGTTATTTCGCAAACCGCGAATGTTAAAGGATACAAGCGATAAACCCTTAGGTTTGATACGACCGTGGGATTTTGGTAGAGCAAACTGCTCTGTCATTGTGAGTTAAGTTAATTAAGTTAACTTAACTTACAATGAGCACAAAAGATTATGATGCTCTGCAAGAGCGAGGAGACGGTCCTGAGGGGACCTCGCAGCGCGCAATTTGCGTGCTAACACAGCGATTTCCTCAACGTTGATGTTCCTAATTGCGGAATACACCGTTTTTAGGTCATCAGCCATTGAGGGCTGTGATTGTTGTGGTTGAGGGGCGGAGGATGTCCGCGGTGGTACTGCCTTTTTGGGGCCCCAGGGAAAAACTGGAGGCTGCATAGGCTGAGAGAAGCCCGGAGGGGGCCGAATAGTGCCCTGAGGGGGCCTAAGAGGACCCTGAGAGGGTCGAGAGAAGCCCTGGGTGGGCTGAGAAAGGCCCTGACGGGGCATCCGTTGGTAAAGAGCCGGGAATGAGCGGTCATTGACCGGCGGTGGAGCTTGCCTACTGGGGCGAGGATGAGGTGCGCAAGGGCAGCCTCTGTAGTTAGCCGGGTGGCCCGTTTGTTTACACAGGACACACGCGGGTGGGGATTCGGCGTCTTTGGGCCGAGGACACTCTTTAGTGTTGTGGGGTTCAAGGCACTTAACGCACCTGGGTGGGGCGGAGCAGTTGGCCGCCGCATGACCATACAGCTGGCAGCGGTGGCACTGCGCCGGGAACCCGCGCCTATGTGGAGGCTCAACCCTCACTCTCGACAGGCCGCACACTGTGCGTACCTGCCGGAAGATGGCTTTCGCCTCCGGCACGTTGGTTAAAATTACTAGGGCAAGAGAGAACCTCTGGCCTGTTCTACTGTGCATTTTGTGCACGGCTTCTACGGGGAAACCTTGGGACTTAAGGTCCTCAAGGATTTCTTCGTTTGAAAATTCGAAGGGGACGCCGCGGATGACGGCCCTGACTTTGCGCTCTTCCGGAAGAGCGTATGTATGATAAGAAACTCGTTCTGCTGTGAATAGCCTGGTGAGTCGCCGGAAGTCGTCGATTGATTGGGGGATGATCTTAATAGCCTCCCCGAGGTTGATGGCGTGGTCATATTTTATGCCTGCGTTGTAGCAGGTTTTGGAGAGTTCTGTGAATTTAGCCTTGTCTCTTAGGAAGACAGGGGGCGGGACTTGCTTCTTGGCAAGGACTGGAGCACAGCGAGAGGCTGGCTTGGTCGGAGCGGGAATGTCTAGTGACATAAGTGGGGCTGAGGCAGCGGCGGGGGCTGCGGGGGCAGAGGCGGCAGCGGGAGCTGCGGAGGTTGAAGGAGCGGCAGGGGCCGCTGAGACAGGGAGGGTGCGGTTTTTAGCGGCGCGTTTACCGTTGAGCTTGGAGTTCACCGTGGTGAACGAAGAATCCCCGGTTCCGTCGGAGTCACAGGACTCCGATGAGCCGGTGCCAGAATTGGTGGCGGGCCTCTTCCGGGAGGCCGATGCAGAGGACTCGGAGCATGCGTACTCCATTTCTAATGGGGCGAAAGAGTTCTTTGTCTCTAGGTAGGCCGCAAGTACGGGCGGCGGTTGGAGTGCCTGACGGGCAGGGGGAGTAATATGGGCGGCGATGGCGGCAAGGGCCGTCTCATCGAGGTTTAGGCCCAGACCAAGAGTTTGGTTTAGGGCGGCGACGAGGGACTTAATTTGGGTAATTGTGGACATGTTGAGGGCAGTA